AATTTAAATTAAAAATAGTTAGCTCCGTAATGATTATCAAGCTATTAGGCATTAACTATCATCCCGCGTGTAGTAATAATCCCTATTTCGTCTATACTTAAGACTCTAAGGTTCTCTTTCTCTCATTATCCCGTTTTTTACCTCTAGTACCTTCGACCGGTGTATTTAATCGTCAAATAAAACTTGAATCTTCCTCCGGAAATTCTAAAAAAGCCACCCTTCAAATACTTGACTCACTTCCGCTGAAAAATCTGTTTCAATCGATACTTTGAGGGCCCCAGGTGGTCAAAAATTCTCTAGGTCATTTATCAATTCTATTAGAAGATAATCAATTTTTCATTTTTAATGTGATGAGAAAATTTTTTATTTGTGTGAAAATGATCTCGGCTTATCATAAACTTTAAATCAAAATTTTGGAGATTGTAAAAATTTGTTCCCAGATTTCACTAAAAATTTCTTACTATGTTTTCTCACGCCATACATTCAAATCCATGATTGTCCAGCTTCCGATGGTCGGTGGTAATTTTTCAATCTAAATTTTTTTATATTTTCAGTACTTGTGCATTATGATTTGTCAAAAGCATTTATTTAATTCAGTAACAATTGCAATAATTTTTTTTTTATTCAATAATTTTGACAAAAAATTGGACCTAATATTGCCATACATGACTTTATATGCTCATCTATGATGGAATATGGCTATATATAACTTTTCCAATAAATTTAGTTCTGAAAATGTCCAACAGGTGGCGTATGGTCGCTTAATATTTTCGTTAGCGGAGAGTTAAGTTTTATAAATTAAGTTATGAAATGAAAATAATTCTTCTGTTCTTTTAAGTAGCTTAATCTAACTTTGACTTTAAGTTTAATCAAGCAATTTTTGTTTAATAAAGCATATTAATTATCCTAATTACTAGAAAAAAAAAATTATTTAATTATTATAATAAATTAAATTAATAAATTATTTTTTTATTTTTTGATTCAATATTTTTGACAAAAAATTGAAGCTGACAATGCCATATATAGCCTTATATGCTCATATATAATAAAATTTGGCCATACGTAACTTTTCCACTAACTTTAGTTTTGAAAACATCCAACAGGTGGCGTATGGTCGCTTCATCTTTTCGTTAGAAGAGAGTTAAATTTTATAAACTGTTATAAAATAAAAATCGTTTTTGTGCTCTTTTAAGTAGCTTTTTCGACATTAATTTTTACTTTATCAATTATTTAACCAATTTTGGTTCACTAAAGCATGTTAACTCTCGAAATTTATAGAAAAAAAAATTATTTAATTGTTATAATAAAATGAATTATTTTTTTATTCATAAAGATAGCTTGTTATGGCCATATATAACCAGATTCAAAAATTTCCCCACAGAAAGTTCACTATCGAACCATCGGCTGAAACAATAACAACTGACAGTTTTCTGACCATAATCCATAATCCCATCCAAGAAACCAATGAAAAATCCAAACCTGATGACAGTGACGAATTCAAAATCAATCTTTCCATAATCCACAATCACTTAAAAATTTTTCCCAGGACCCAGGACAACAAAGTGCCGGATGTTGTTAACTTCAATTTTAAAAAAAGAAACAGTGAAGAGTCTAAGAGTAGTCCCTACAAAAACAAAGTGCTTCCGGCGAAGAGTGTCCGTACTTGAGGATCTCAGGATGACAATTGGAAGTTATTTATACTTGGCAGTGAATGAGACTACTCTGAAAATGAAAACATGCTAAGTGGAATGAGATGAAAGAAGTTTTAAGCTTGGGTCGGTATATTCAGTCGGTTCTGCATGATGATGAGCAGGTCTTAGTCTGGGTCCTTGCTTTCGGATGAAGGGCAGTAATTGAAGTTAAACGAGATAGCTCGGCATTCATCAACCATCCAGTGTCTTGACAATAACTTCTGGCCCTATCTAGGGGCAAAGTGATCCAGGGCACCACAAAGTGTAAGAACATGGCTTGGATCTCGTTGAATATTCAGGATCTGGCACACACGCCTCTGGCGACAGACAATGGCGCTGCTGGAGTCGTTAGTGTTATATCTGCTAGAATGGAAGTTACCGAGAGAGATTCGATTGTTATGGCTTGCGGGCTTTGTAATAAGACTAAAAAATCCTTTTTGTCTTATTATATGTTGGGTGTCGGGTGGGGGAAGAACGGGGGTGAACTTGTTCAGAATTCAATGACGGTAAACAATTACGCCTCAAAGGTTACGGTCAACCGGTAAATTACGCTTTTAATAGTCTTGTCAATGCTTTTTAGTTTTTATTATTTCTGCTGACTGGGAAGGAGCTCCTGGTTTATAGATGTTTACACAAATAACCATAATCACCTTTCCGTAGTTAAGTCTTCGTTATTCTTTGTTTGTAAGTGTAAGGTACCGCAGGGTAATAAGGTGCTTTAATGTTAATCATTATTGAAGTGATTTTTCTTCAAAATTTCAACAAAAAATGGTAATTTTTACTGTAAAAAATAAAATTCAACACTTTAAAAACTGTAACAATTAAGATAACACCTTTTTTAATGGGTACTACGACATGAAAAATTATCGAAAAAAATCGACGATGTAAAAGCAAAATAGTGTCCGATTTGGCGTAGAATGCCTCATAATAGACACTTGTAAAAAGAATTAAGGGATAAAAAAAGTGTGTGTCAGCTCCGACGCACGACTGGAGTTTACTCTTTACGAACGATTATAAAATAAATAGATTAGTTTCTTATATTACTTAGAGTATGCATGACACATCTATAGATTGATTTTTATTCATTGAGTAATTTTCTCAATTTTGAAATAAATATCAATTGATATAAATTTATATTTATATCAATTATAAATAAAATATAAAATTTACGATAAAACCTCCGCAAGTTGACAGTTGTTGTAGGTTAATATCAGGTTAATACAATATGCAATTGAAAGTAAATATATTAATTATCGTATTCGGCTTATTAAACCTACCCCGGGGTAAAACAAACGAATAGCAGCTGACTGGATCGGAAGTTTTCAAGATTTAAAAATTTAATTTGAGGTCCAATCAAATGCTTTTGTATTCACTGCCCCGGGGTAGGTTTTGTAAGCCGAACACGACAAATGACTATTTAAATCGGAATTTTTAATTATTTGATAATTTTTAATCGGCTAATTTTACGTAATGCTAGGCTAAGTATCAGCTAAAATTGCTTTTCTAGATTCTAAAACGGCAACATTTACGATTTTCAATTTTACGGAAATTCAATATTCAAAATAATATTGTTTGAGAAATGACAATATATTCAAATTTCAATATTTTTTTTCGTTTATTTGTTACTTTGAATCATTTTCATAAATTAGCTTATGTCAGATTAGCATTATTTTATTAACGCAGCATTTTATCTAAATGTCTATTTTTAAGTGACTGCTTTTTTAGATGTTCTTTTTCGAAAATTCGCGAATTTTTTCTTTGTCATTTTTTACTTTACGCTAAATTTACACTTGGCTTTATATTCTTTTTGCCCACATTAGCAGTCTTTTTTTTAGGTTTAGTAAATTTGACAAAGGGCATAATTTTAGATTTTCAACATTTAGACTTTAGAAACGACCGAATTTACAATTTTCAATTCAACTATAAACTTGAATACCTATATTTGAATTAATGCTCGTGGCTGTATATATTATATACTTATATATTTTATATAGTAGTAAGTTATTACTAATAACTAATAACATATATAGGTATACTTAATGCGTAAGCTGACCCGCAACATACCCCGTGAACGTTTGAATGTTCGCGCCTAAAAAGAGAAAGTTTGCGCAGAATAGAGGTTGCGCACCAAAAACGTAACGAGGTCATTCATCAGTAGATTTTACCCCTCATATTTTTCTCATACCGGGCGCCTTATATATGAAAATCGATTCTTAAGGAGTAAACTCCAAAAAAAATTCTAAAGTTTTGTGATTTTTCGAATAGCTGTATCTTCGTAAAGAATGGTCAAATTAGAGTAGTAAAAACGCAATTTAAAGTTTAAAGTTTCTATTTTTGAAATCTGAGACGTCTACACTTGTATCTTCAACTAACAACCCAACAACCTTGCCTTGTGTGATACCAACCAATTCTATATACAGCAAAAATTCAAACCAGATAAATTAAAATCTTTTTTATTTATAGTGAAATTTTTTTTTACGGCTACTAATACTTGTCAAGTAATGGGAATAGATAGGAAAAAATTCCCTAACTATTTATTAATTATGTAACACTTACTTACACTTATGGTTTATATAGGGGAGGGGGGGGGGGCAAAATGGGGTACCCCCAAAATTTCGTAAAAAAATTTTTTTTTTCTAAAAAGCTTTTTTAGCTTTCTAAAATATATTTTAACGTCATTTCCTACAATTTCAGAGGAAAAAAAATTTTTTTTACATGCAGTAAAAAAAATTTCGTCAAATTTAACACAAATATTTGTGTTACTGACTGTTTTTACACAAACTAATGTTAATTCTACATTCTAGTGTGTTGAATCAACACATGAGAATGTAAAATTATACACACTAGAGTGTAATTTGCTACACAAAAATTTTTACACTTTACAAATTGACGAAAAATTTTTTACTGTGCAGTAATTTTTATCGCCATTGTGCATCATAATAATTTTTTTTTCACATCTAAAATTTTTTTTTCTAAATTTTTAAGTTCTCACTTTACAAATAAATGATTTAAAAAAAAAAAAATCGGGAAGTCATTGGTTCCAAGCCAGTTTTCGAAAATCAAGTTCTAATCTGATCTCCACATTTTTAAGGTCCTAAGAAGTAGCTCTTAATACTCCTACGAAGATTTCTATCAGGGTGTGTGTGATGATAACTTGATAGTGGCTAATCTAAAACACTAAAACCAAAATTATTTACCTTCAATATATATGTAGTTATTGCACCAGCTAAGGATATTAATATTTATTGATAAATAACAAAATGGTAGAGATTTAAAAAAAGAACTGAAAAATGTGGTTTTTTTCACAGTTTATAGTCCTAAAAAAATGGTATAAATAAAAATTTTGATTTGGTTGTAGCTGATCCAATAGCTACTACTATGTAGAATATGTATAGTATTAATTTAATTAAGATCGGGTCAGTGGTTCCGGAGATATCATATACCTAAACCAGAAAAACATACTTCTGAGAGTTACGCATTTAAAGTTTTTTTTTAATGTCAAAAAACAAAGTCTTACCTATCCCTTAAATCCCTTCAGCCTCTTCAAAAATTTTATTTTCTTCCACTCGAACATCCACGTAAACATCGTACAATAATATAGTTACAGCGGTCCGCTCACTTGGAAATTTTAACACAATACTTTTAGATATATGTACTTCCGAAAAATGTGAAAGAAAAATTTCTTTGAAAGTTTTAAACCAAAATGACCCCTTAAACAGTAAAAAATATTTATTGCGTATTGATGTAATGTTTTTTAATAAGTTACTTTCAGGTTATTGTAAAAAAGAAAGTTCAACAAGCTATGATTTTTTTGCGATGGAAAAGCAAAAAAAATCTGTCCTGACAATAATGTTAAGATGAAAATGTGGGGAGCAGAAAATTAAAGAAGGGAGGATTAAATTACCCGGCACAAAACACATTATACCTCATCTTGATAGACTTTATTCTCGCGCAGTACCTCATCAAAGTTCAGAAGATTTTCTTTTCTTAAGTTTTTACAGCGAGTTTAAGGTATACTATAGTAAAAGTGTTTAAAATGACACACCATGAAATATGTATGTAATCCTTTGAAAAAGAGTGCAAAAAAAATTACGAATCTTTTTTTTCGTGCTATTACTTTGATTTGCGTGAGAACTATGAGTCTAAAATTTTTTTCACCGGGAGTTCCAAATACTAGAATTTTCTCAAGAGAACTCTTTTTTTTTTATCTTGATATTATTTTTACTCAAGCGAAACCCGTTAAAAATTACGAAAAAGTTTTAAAATTTTTTTTACTACCTCAGTTTTTGTTAGGAATATATTGCTTCAACTAACAATGTCTCTTTTTTGGGTGATTTGTTCCTCTCTTTGGGTTCTTTCGTAGACTTATCGATAAGAAAATGTTATTTTTTAACGATATTTTATTTTCGGATGAAGAAATTTTTTTTTCACTCTTTCAGGGAGTACCCCATTTTGCCCGCAAAAAAAAAAATTTTTTTCGACGGCAACTTGAAATTTGATTATTTTCCTTTAATTACGACTGAAAACGAGAAAAATCAGCGTATTCAAGTCCGTACAAATTTATAAAATCGATATTGAACGTAGGTGTGAGTACGCGGACATTTAAACCCAAATCATATGTACTATCCATTAATCCCTTCAAATCCCCAGATGCAGTATGATTAATCCGATAACCTTTTTGATCATAGTATATGATGGGCGTGACATTTAAAGCAGAAAATAAGGTTTCCGCATAACTATCATCTTCAAATTTGTTATGTTTTTGTAAAGAGTCAATATCGTATTTTTTACCACGCGTATAATTCGAGAATGATCTACTAACAGCTTTTACTTCGTAACCATCTAGAGATTTTGTTTTGTCATAGTTAAAACTTTTACAAGCTCCTTTGTCTGCAACAGAGAGAAATATTTGTAAAATTAATCTAAATTTTATGTTAAACCATTGCTATTTTTGCACATACCATTTATATAAGGCTGTTTGTAGAGAGTCCATCGATCGTCTGGCCTGTCGGTTGATTCCACTTCCGCCCACGGTTCAGGAGCTCGGTTGGTAAAAGGATTATACGTGTACAGCATCATCAACTCTTTATTATTCGGCTCGTAGCAAACGTAAAATGTTGAGATCAAATTCAATTCCCAGAGAACTTGGAGCATTTTCGAAGCGTTGCCACAAGATTCTGCGTTGGTTCCAATGATAAAAAATACAGATTTAATGCTCCATGTCGGCGATGACTTCAATGCATGTAACAGATCTTTCAATTGACTAGCTGAATTAGCGGAAAGAATATACGTCGGATAAGCGCGGTTGAATATCTGAATTTGTCTTGCTTGATAGTTGCGGTCAATGACGTTGACATTTGGATGATCGATATCTCGTGAAAGTCCATAGATTGCGTCAACTAAATCATCAGTAATGACAACCGGATTTGTGCGTTCAGAAAAACACAATTTTATCAATTCACTCTATTAAAGATTGAAACAGAAAGAATCAAGTATTAAAATATCGAAATTATCAACCTTCTTAATGTTATTTCTGAAAAACTCACCATCTTATTCCAAACAGGTTGAGGATTCTGCAATACTATTTTATCTAATATTCTTCCATCGCTGCACAAACTCATGGTTATTAACTACCACACAATTTTATTTATCAACGTCATTGCTCAACACTCATATTATTGCACACAATTATGAAAGTTTTGTTCAATTTTCGGTTATAAACCGTTAAGATACCGTATTTGTCAAGTTTCAGTTTATTTACGTGTAATTCACATCAGTGACTTCAAAACTGCAAGCTAAATTTTGAAGTATTCTGTTTCGTTCCGGAACCAAGAATCAATAGATTAACAACAACCCTTCGGCCAATAATGATATAAAACGCGTCACTTCCATTTTTGCAGATGAACAGCTACTACCAATTGTACAAGATCCACTTCCATGTATAACCACGTCATTTTTATGTTTATTATTATTTCGTTTGTTGTGAAGCTTACGCTTCATTGTTTCCTAGATACCGAGTATTTTTTAACCTATTTTCTAATTCCCCAGGGGAAAAATTGCAACACACGAATAGCTGAGATTGTATGAGTATTGCACACATTGATAACATGTATAAGTATAAATGTAAATATGCGTTTACAATTGTCTTGCATGATTTTTGGATATCTCAAAATTGATTATTCTTATAAGAGCTTATTTTCTAGATAATATCTAACAAAAGCAATAAAACAATTTTTAAGTTGAATCAATTTGTGCATTAATTTCTTCAAGTAAACGCTACTATTATTTATATTGATTGTGCACAACTAGTCGTACTTGTCTACATCAATAGCAAATAACCACGTCAGTTTGAAGTCAAGAGTAGGATTATTTGTTATGATATTAGTAGCATTGATCCGTATCCTGGATACTTGCAATATCCTTCACAACTTTTTCTAGTTTTCAACAAAGATTACCGCAAATGCTTGTACGGTATAGCTCTCATGTGTGTAAACATCGAATATGACACGAAACTTTTTTTTGTTTAAGTAAATTTGTCTTGGTTTAAGACTTTTTTCTTTTGAATTGAGAATTTTTTTTTTATGGTATTCTTGGTTAAAATTTTTTTTTCTGGAAATAAGTTAACTTATCTATCATTTGACAAGAATCATATAACTTACTTTTGATGTTCCACGGATGATTCGCTATAAGAAAAAAATTTTTTTAGCGTTCAGAATTCTTCGAAAGTAATAAAGTAAGCTTACACTTATCAGAATAATAAGCTTAACAATAACTGTGCTTTCCATTGATCCAAACATTAAGAACTAGTGTCTTCTTTGGTGAAGTCAGTCAAACTCGTTATCGAATATGTAAGGAAGAATATTTTTATAAATGTCATGATTGGGTATCATAACTTCAATATTCATTTAACTAATTCCTATCAATTTAATGAAATTATCCATTTAATTCTAGATGAATCAATGTATAGGTTGATCCTTACACACAATTATATTTATAGTAATTCAAATTTCATGTCCTTGAAAATTTAATTTATTATCAAATGCATCACCAGGACATTGAGTATCAAATTTATATCTTTAGTTTCCTAATTCCATTAAACCTCAAGCATCCAAAGTTGATAGGCTGGCTTTGTTAACCAAAAGTATTGTATTTATATTGATTGTATGGATGTGTTTTTCGCAAAATCCATAAAAGTGTCGCATTTGTCACGGTCAATCGATAATGATATGTTCAGCACACTATAGGATTGTGTAGCCAGGAAAACAATGTGTTCGAAATTAGACTCGAAGAATTGCGATCGGACGATATTGCAACTAAAAATTTTCAAAAAAGTATATTTTTAACAACCACTAGATTTTCGAGCTCGAAGAGCTCAAAAGTCCAGAATAGATGATTTTTCGAGCTTTTGAACTCACACATATGTGCGCTATATAGCGGGAAGTTCCAGGGTTGGCCTGCAGGACCTACCGTTTTCCAGATTTTTTTTGTCTAATCTCAATCCAGAGTTTAAAAATTTGTAGACATTTTCATGAAATCGAGTACAAAAAAATCCATTCAAAACTTTCTCACCATTATCAACAATTCGGTGAATGTCCGTAAAAAATCGGTGTATCAACAATTAAAAAAATCTGAAAAATATGTGTCACACCGTGTCACAGGATTATGTTATATATTTTCACTACAAGCCAAACTTATTCTCTCATCGTGAGAATTTTATAAAAATTACCAAAAATAATTGCAAGGCTACAATCACCCTCACCCCTCACCCCTAAATTCCGATTTGTTCGGCATACTTGGCACTCGGTAACGGATCCGGTAATCCCCCGTAGGAAAACAAATCAACGCAGCTATAATGTAAGAATAAATGAAAATGAAAAATAAAAAAAAATGTAATAGCATAGAGTTTGCTCAGGACCTACAAAAATATTATCGCAAGCCTGGATTTAATCCAGATAGAATTTTATATATATATATATATATATATATATATATATATATATATATATATATATATAGATGAAGTGTGGAACAAGTTGACGGTTTGGGTAAGTTTGCCCTTGGCGTGATCGTCCCTCAGGTTCTTTTCTTCAGGTTCACTCCATTCCTCCCTTTTTATATTATATTTTATTATTACTATTATTATTATAGTATTTTTTTATCCGAACTCGAGAACGAAAATGAGAGCAAGAGGGAGAAAAAAAGAGAGAGAGAGAAAGACTTTGGCTCTGGGCTAGTGTAGATAAAGGTAAGGTAAGGGTACTAACTTTAGCTCGTTTGGAAGGCATTCTTCGAGGTCCATTCAAGAGGACAAGAGTCTCGCGTTTTCTCTTTACTTATTCACTTGTACATGGACACAATAATTCTCCCTTATTCTAGTCCCCGGGGTTCTCTCACGCCTCGGCATTCACCGAGACACCATTCACAATATTACAATTCTTTCACTTCGACAGTCTTTGTCGAGCAGAGCCACAGGCATTATAACTTCAAAATCAAAAAATATATCAAGAACGATGGATAGACCAACAGGAAAATTGTTATTACTTATACTGGGCACTATATACTATATATAGCCTACATTCTTAGATAGATATAGATAAATTATAAAACTTCGCGGAATCCATTTCTCGGGTATAAGAGGGTATAAATGGGACATTAGACGCTCTATAATAACTATTGTTATACAGACCTTCTTTTCGCTAAAATACCTCATTTATTATTTTTGATTCTTATTGTTTGATTTTTTTTCTTTTTTTTATAAATTGTTTAAGATTTGTAATATCGATTGATTGATTTTATGGTTTGACACTTGTGACTTGAAACTTTTAATTTCCATGAACTTTTTTTTTTGTAAGTAATATTATCATTATTATTATTGCTTTTTAAGATATTATCGAAATGATAATCCTTCTTCTCATATCTGTCAGTAAAATATTTATAACTATTGGCACCATGCACCCCACACTTTTTTTATAATAAAATACATTTTTTTCTTATTTACACTATGATTAATTTATATTTATAAAAATTTTTTACACTATTCTTAATTAAAATTTATTTTATATTTTTTAGTTTGGTTTTCTATAAAAAACGTGTTTTTTAGTTTTTTTAAGCTATTATTTATTTGTAAACATTTTTTTGTAATTAATATTATTATTATTATTATTATGACTTTGTCCTACAGCCAGTGAATAAATCACATTACATTACATTATTTTATTACTATTATTATCGTAAAAAAAAATTCTGATATAGTCATATGTGGACACATATGACCTTATATGACCATAAATAGGCTGATATGATCACATATAGCCATATACAGTCATATATGACCACATATAGACTGATTTGATCTAATATAGCCTTATAGGACATTCTTTAGCCTTATGTAGTCATATATACAGTCTGATGTTACATATCGCGTATAATATGATCATATGTAGCCTGAAATGACCATATTTAGCCTGATCTAGTCATTAGGGTGCATTGAAATTTAATCTTCGGAAGCAACCTTTTAAAATTGAAATTTTGAGTTTCGCTTTTAACAGGAGCTGTATTTGGACATTTCCTAATATATTTTGGTGTGTCACAATTCATTTAATATTCACAAAATTTTTTAACAGGAGTTTCGTTTGGCCAAATTTTGAAATTTTTAAATTCCAGAAAAATTGCTTCAACAAAACTCCTACTAAACAATTATGTGAGCATCAAATAAATCTTGACACATCAAAATATCTCAGGAAATGCCCAAACATAACTCCTGCTAAAAGTGGAACTCAAAATTCCAATTTTAAAAGGTTGCTTTTAGAGATTAAATTTTGACGCACCCTAATAGTCAGATGTCGCCATATACAGCCTGATATAATCACATATCGCCATATGTAACTTAATATACTCATCTACAGCCTAATATGATCACATATGGCTGTATAAAGTTTGATATGGTCTAATCTGGTCACATGTAGCCTGATATGGTCATATATGACTATAGACCATGTCAAAAAAATTTTTTCTGGGGATCATTATATAAAATTTTAAATATTGATTATTTAACGTCAATAATATCCATTTGAATACAAAAAATTCATTTATAAAAAAAATTAACAATAATAGTAAATTCTGATGATGATGAATAACAATAGTAGTGATTTAACATCGATAGTCAGGACCCGTGCCATAATACACGAGCTGTACACTTAACAATAAAATGTCACAGGCACCCTCGAAAATCAATTCAACATTCAACTGTTCTCTTGCAGTTTTCTATTCAAAAAACATATATATTATTAATTTTTTTTTCTTTTTTCCTCAACAATAACAAACTCCTGACAATTGATTCTCATTTTTAGATTAAACTATAGAATACATTCAATTAGGGGGTTTTCATTCCAATGAACAATTCCTCGTACGAAATGTACAAGGTGCACAGTGCATACAGCAGGTATATTAACTTACAATATCAATACATCAAACATAAAAATTTTCTAAAAATCACGCAAAACTTTAGTAATTCTTTTCTGTTCTAAACTTTCACCCGTAAAGCTTGACTTTTTTTCTTGCCGAAAAAAAAAAAAAAACGCAATAATGAACTGAGTAAAATATTGGATATAATTACTCTCGT